CACAACAACATGGAAAAGACAATGGAGAACTAAATAAAAGCTGCGGTTATGTATGTGGCTTATGGGGAGTTCTGGATGTTGTTATGTTGCGGAGAAACAGGGATTGCGAGAGATAAAGTAAATAACTACCCAAGTTTCTGCAGTTGAGAAAATGTCAGCCCAAGGAGAAGAATGGTTGTGTTTTCCTGAAAGATCACACAATCAATCTAGAAGCCCAAAATGTGCGGGAGGGCATGCTCAGGCTTCCGTACAAATGCAGCAAACATCTCCGCCCAATATTTTAACACCCCCCACCAGCAATATTAGATTCTAGATATCCCCTATAGCAACCCCAGTATGTTCAGAAGCAAATTTAATTTGAGCGGGTGGGGAGCACTATTCGTGGCAAAGGATTAGGAGGGACCATTGCGGCAACGATATACAATTACAAACTAACAATTTGACATGTCTCGGGTAACCATGATGGCAAACCCTCAAGACACAACCCTAAACCGTGTCCCTAAACTTGCTAAACTCCGGTGCGATACTGGAGGTTGATGCCAGTGTATTCGGACCTGGCTCCCTTCAGCCGATAGAGCTTCCTCCCTAGGCAGCAAGGAAACTTGAAGCCAACTTGCTTACAATACTTGAACTGCCATGGAGCTTTACGAAGAATACCGCATGTGTCACATCTGAAACTGTTGTCCTCATACTTGCTCCCTCAAGAACAGATCCTGGCTGTAACCACCGCGTAGAACATTTGTCTGAAAGTAAAGCACCAGGCCATCCTTGTGAAGACCGGACTGTCTACCAAACAAGTATGCAGCTGCCTGCAACCATGTAAACACCCCCTTTCGTTGCAGGACCCGTGCTGAATAAAAAAACTGAGGAGGTGCCACCAGAAACATCTCACAAAGTTAACCCTAAAACTACAACAGACACAAAAAGCCTGAACAGGTACCCCATAGCATCATTTCTATACGTTCCGCTACTACCTCATTACTGCATTGCTAGACCCTGAACTGCAAGGCTTCCCTGAACGAAAAGTAGATGCCTGGAGGTTTGCTAAGAAGCACCGAAGAGACTCGGTGGCCTCATCCTGGGGCAAAATATCATCATGTGGGCTGTATTCTGAACTTGTTAAAAGGGGGATATATAGGGGATTATATAGGGCACTACTATAGGGGTTATTAAGGGGGAGACTAAGAGATTAGATTATGGCTCATGTGGGTTCAGGTTCAGGGTATAGGGTATAGGGCTTAGGGACTCACATACATAAAAGATACGGATATTGTAATGTTATGAAGTAAAGTAATGTGTCAGACATTGTAAATGAAGTGCTATGTTCAGGTCGAGATCATACTTTAGAATTATACTGTTACAATGACACTATGCTTTAGCAGTATCGGTACAATAGTATTGTAATTTCGCAATATATGAATATAGTGTTTGGTAATATCGTAACAAACTTGGGTTGAGGCAAAAAGGGTCTACTCTCGCCCACACCTAAACAAACATGCAAGCCCCAAAGGGGCCCTACACAGACTACTTACTGTCCTTGTAGCAGGGCTTATGACCAAATGCCTTGGATTGGGCCTAAGGCTAAGGTAAACCCTAAACCCATGAACCCTGAGGCCGACTTTGGGGGGCTGCAGAGGTAGACCCTCTGACTAAGATCCCTTTGAATAGATTCGAAGTGGAGATGGAAGGGTTCTAGGAAGGGGCATACCTAATCACACCCTCCGTAATCGAACCCCTAGAAAATGCTCAGGTGGAGAATTTCAGGATTTCAAGACCTCTGCTGGCGTAGGAGTATGAGGATGTTTAGGTGTTTCGGGTCCTTGAGCAATGCAACCACAGGGGTACAAGAGGTGCACTGGGCACATTGGGTCCCACCTTGTCAACAGTTCCTCAGGTTGCAACTAATATCCCAAACCCCAAAGCCTAAACCCTTATCGGCGTGGGAAACCGTATGTTTCTTTATACCAGAAGGTCTGCTTAATTTGTTCCTTGCCATCGACTTTACCACAAACAAGACATCAGAATCCTAGGAACGCGTATTACAAAACAGTAACGCTTTATAGTAATGATTATAAAAGACTATAGGACCTCTAGGATATCACCGGATCAAAACTTGGGTTTTAACTGGCCTGAAGCTCTCTTCCCTAGCCTTGAACCGTGAACCGTCCCCTCTAAAAACGGCCAGGTGGTGCCAACTCTAAAGACGAGTGAAGCAAGCCTGAAAAGAACGCTGACCCCGTGTCGTTGCGTAAGAACCGCTCTAAAAGTCTGGCTGGGGACCATCTGACCTAAACCCCAAACCCAAAAACCCCCCCCCAACCCTAAACCCTAAAGTCCAAACCCAAACCGCTATGGGATCCTGGTGGAGGCCTGAACCCAAAGAGCAGCTCTAAACCTAAAACTTGAACCAACCCGTCGAGCACTATTACTTAGGAGGACCCCCCCACCTGTATTAGTAGTATAATAAGAATATAACAGGACCCTAATATAATCCCTATTATCGCTTATAGTTAGTATTACTGGGTGGGGGGTCTACCTAAACTATTACCATCATGCATTATGATCGTTACTACTAGTGTAATAACTATTACTATATTGCAACTACTATCACTCTTTACTATTACTCTTAGTGTTATACCTTCCTCGGCAGATCTACCCCCTTTTTTGCTAAGACTTCAAGCCCTAAAGTTGAACGCTCAAGCTCCGACCTCCAACATCCTCGACCCAAGGTCCGCAAAGACGCGCTCTACCCTAAACCCTAAACCCTCACGCCCAAAAAAACTTACCATTACTTTGGGTTCTCAAGTTTCTTTAATCTCAAAATAAACTTGCTGAATCTCAAAATTTCAAAATTTAACAACCAAAATGACCCCCCAAACCCTAAGCAATGGTAATAAACCCAATGAAAGCTGAAGCCTCGCAGGTCTGGCATTCACAACCACGGCTTTACCACCATATCCTCAAGAAACGGGAGTTGGTAGTTTCCCAAAGTCGGGGGACCCCAAAGTACTATGATCCTTGTTATAGGGGCCCCCAAAAAAGTCCCCCTAAATTTAAGAAATTACTAGTTCCCCAAACAACTACATTACGATCCTTGATTTCAAGGGACCTGATAGTCCTTGTGTAGCCCCCTACAAACCCCTAGGGCCATTAGGTGCCTGAAAACCGGTCAGCGCGCCTGGGAGCGGCCACCGACCGCCTCCTCAAGCGGCAGACCACTGGCGTTGAACCTCACCAGGTTTCGGGCGAAGGGCTTAGGGTTCGGGGTTTAGGGTTAAGGTTTTAAGGGTTGAAGGGTTCAAGGGTTTGATTTAAGGTGTAGGGTTTCTGGCTGATCAGGTGTTCCCCTTTGCTGGGAAGCTATGACGTCAGGATGGAAATGGCGTTCCTGTCATGGTTGTAAGAAGTAGATTAGGTTTTAAGTTTAGGGTACCCTTCCTCAGGCAAGGAGCAGATCAGTCTTTGTCAACATGTCCTGTTGGCTTTGGACAAACCCTCCAAACTCTAGTTCCTCAGTTCATGATAAGATCACAGGAAGGGTAGCCCCAGAATTTCCTTCCAGCGGACACCCCACCCTCCAGTCGAAAAACATAACTTACATGTACGCACGCAAATGTATGTGCATTTATAATACTCATATATAAGTACACATGAATCTACGTATACATGTTCCTTCCCATTCGATTATTATGTATGGTGCTATATCGTGGATGTTGATCATGAGTATTGGGTGGTTTCGACAAGGAGAATGAAACTATTTCAGGTTGTGCCCCCCTCCCTCAGCACATCCCTTGTGATAGCATTCCTGATGCTCCCTACAGCAGTTTAGAATAACTTCAATTCCCAATTTAAAGCCAGCTTGGCAATATTCCCTACATAAACCACAATTTAGGGTGAGGTCGGGTGAGGTCGCTTGAAATTGCCCGGTTAAATCCTAATCCCTAAAACCTAAACCTTAAACCCTGAACCCTAAATCCTGAACCCCAAATCCTAAACCCTAAACCCTAAATCCCAGACCCTATATACCCTATATACCCTATACCCTATTAACCCTAAACAAATAAACCCTCGAAATTAATCCTCTGAACTATCACCTCAGCGCCCCGCCGTAGGCCTAGGTCGTCCATGGCCTGCCATCAGGGCTAATCTCCAAACTCCTTAAAGGGGACCTCCTTTATCTAAGGTTTGGGGTTTAGAGTCTAAACCCCTCAAAGTAGGGATATAGGTGATTATATAAGGGGCTATTGTAGGGGTCATTAAGGGGGATATTAGGAGTTTAGACCCTAGCTTCTTCAAAGCTGAAGGCTTACGGATTTAGTTTAAGGTTCAGGGTTTCGGGTTCAGGGTCTACGACGTATTTTGTGGGAATTGGGGTGTAGGAGTTAGGCCTTAAGCTGTAGGATTTAGGTCTGGGGCGCAGGGTTTCTAGGATTTCGGGTTCCGGGTTCCGGGTTTCGGGCATGTTGCTGTCTACCTGCTTATCACCACACCTGCAACCCCCTTACACTCTAACAAGGCTAGAGTAACAATATTTCCCTGGGGCTACACTAGAATAATTCCGAAGGGGATAGGAGTCACTTGTCTAAGCTGCAATTCCCCTCACGGACCTCGAGCAGGCGTATAGCCGCATTAAGTAGATAGAATATGGAAATCTCCATGCACCTCATATTCCATCCGTATTCTACTTGGGAAGTGACCATATGCTCAGAAAGCCCGGTCGCAACTCGAACAAGAGCATTCTCAGGATGCACGGTCGGTAAAGGATCCCCAACTGTTTTGGCTTGGCGTAGAACAACAAGCTTTGGGGAAGCTCTGGTGATTCGACTCGGCAGTCTTTGCTGTACAGGTGCGCCGCCTTCTGCACTGCCTCAACAACTTCGTCAGACGTCTCTGAACTTGAGAGCTTTGCCCTCTGCAACACAGCCGCTGACCGATGTAGGCTAACTCGAACCACACCCACAAAAATGTGGCCACCTCATCCACCTACCTAGACCTAGGACCTAGATGCACTTGCGGTGGACGATCATTGGCCCACTCTCATCGTACTCAGCCTTGGAGATCCACATCTGCTGGAACGTGCTCAATGACGAGAGGATGGAGCCACCGATCCACACACTGTACTTCCTCTCAGGCGGCGCAATGACCTTCACCTTCACAGTGGATGGTGCCAGGGCACAAAGCTCTTTGGTCATTCGCTCGCCGATGCCGGGCAGCATCGTGCAGCCCCCCGACAGGACCACGTTCTGGTACAGGTCGCGGCGGATATCCACATCGCACCTCATGATGGACTGGAAGGTGGTGTCATGGATCCCCATCGCTTCCTTGCCCACCAAGCTGGGCTGGAACAGTACCTCCGGGCAGCGGAAGCGCTCGCTGTGTAAGGAGATGATGTTCCCATCTGGCAGCTCGTACGTCTTCGCCCCGTCATTGCTCTCTGCCGCTGCCTTCAGCTCATGGTTGAAATCCAGGGCGACGTAGCACAGCTTCCTTGGCAACAACTACTTGAGTCCTACGTGAACCGACTGCGGTACCACCCAACCACCAAAAACTCTAACAGCTCATGCTCAACAAAGGGCAACAACTTTAGCATTCAGCCCTAGGTTCTCCTTGACGTCCCGCACGATTTCTCGCTCCGCGCTGTTGCTGAAGGAGTAGCCGCTCTCCATCATGATCTTCATCAAATATTCCGTCAGGTCACGGCCAGCCAAATCAAGCCGCGCGATGGCATGAGGAAGTGCATATCCCTCATAGATAGGCACGGTGTGAGACACGCCATCGCCCGAATCCATAACGATTCCCGTGGTCCTGCC